CCAGACTGACTTACAGCGCAGACATAGCATTTCAGCCTGAAAGGAGCCGTTAGGACCTGATCTCAAAAGATAACTCAGAGCTAACAGGAGTAGTTCAACCAATCGGATGCGTATGTGTGAGGCTTCTAAAAAAAGGAAAGCTCTAACAGCAACCAGCTCTTCTGGAACAACAAAGGGAATAATGAAAACATCTCACCATTGCAGCTGCAACTAGTCTGGTGGATCGGTTCGGTCTGCTTTAGACCAGAAAATATGGAGCCTTACCAGGCTGACTGAGGTCTTTTGTTTCTCAGTCTGACTGACCAGGCTTTCAATGAACAGAACAACTAAAAGCAGAGTAAAAAGTATGAGCAGGGAATCAACAGTCAGACCACGGAGGCAACTGTGGCTGATTGTGAGCATAAAGCTTACACATGCAGAAAATGCCTTTAACACAATTTTGCCACAGTTCAAGTGTTTGCACAGTTCCATTGATGTGCACAAGTATCTTAAATCAACTATGAGTCTCGTCATGTCTGGGCAAACATACGGGAAGAGAATTAAACAACCTTCAGCACATGTTCATTAACTTGAAGTATTGTTTTGGGTTAACTGATGTTGATTTTAACTGAATGCAAATGTATGCAATCACTAAGTCAGGTCCAACTAGGCCTAAAAGTGTCTTTGAATGTGGGCCACCTGGGTCTAACCAGCACATGGCAACATGCAGCCATGCTATTTTATTTATCTCCTGGATTTGGGCATTGTTGATTTAGGAAATGCGTCACTTACTAAGAGAAGAAAGAAATAACTGAAACAAACATATCACTCTGGATGTAGAGACTGGTTTTGTGTCCTTGTCCTTCTTTAAAGATATTTGTATTTAACCAAAGATAGAAAATAGCTCACCTTCCTGCATCGCAGCTCTAGAAAGAAGAGCTATTATCTTTATTCTTTTTCAGCTTGTGTTTCATGCCACATTTCATTAGGAATATCACTGTAGTTTACTTAAATATTATTCAAACTGTATTTAACCAGTACTGTAGCTACCAAGGTAAAAGTGTGTGCCCCTGGTTCTCCTGCTCCTGAAGTACAGCTAAGCGTTCACCAGTAAAACACAGACTAATTATGTGGGAAACAGAGGGACTTTGGCAACTACTAATTATCTTACTAATTAAAGCTAAGATTATCTTGTGTGTCGTTGGGGGAGCAGACTGACATGTGCCTAACATGCTCATTAGAAAAGGCAACTTCTACCTGAAAACCCAAAGTTATAATCAAGGTTTTACTCAGAAATCTCCTTAGCCACAGTGGTAAACCGTGTTGGAAATAGTGCAGGAAAA